CTTTAGGTTAATTGAGACTGCATAAATGGCATCCTAGAAATAGTAATAGTCTCTTCAATCAGTAATTGTTAGTAGAGTCTCATCCACGTTCACAGTTCAGCAGCAGTCAAACACTGAAGTAAAGGAAAATGGGTACAGATTACCTTTATTTGACAGCACCCAATACTGACTTGTCTTGCTATAAGTTACCAGTCTCTAAAATATTTCTAACTCCTGACATGACAGCAGAAAGAAATTTGAATATTGATTGTTTTTTAAGTGCATATGTCTTTAAACTTGAACAGAGAACATATGATCATATTTTGCCCCATGGCAATGCTGATACATAGGTATTATATTCTATTTATTGCATGTCAGTATCAATAAAACTCATTATGCGTGTCATAAAACTCCAAAGCATGTTCAGGGTATAAACAGACAGCTCTCAGACATGCATTTCCTTGCCATTATTAGGGAATCATAGAACTGGAATGGACCTCGAGAGGTCATCTAGTCAAGTCCCCTGCACTCGTGGCAGGACTAAGTATTATAATCCACATGTTGAAAGACAGAAGATAAATCAGTGCATTTCTGTGACATTGAACTGCATATGTTTTATGGAAATATGCTTATGAGTGTGAATATGATGTAACTGGAATATGGTTTATGCAAAAGGTCTCTTGTAAGGTATCATAACAAAAGTTATAACCTACTGAATATATTCCTCTTATTTGTATGCATGTATCATTCTTGTATCTGAAGCTAGAAATATGAAGTATAACTCTGAGGTCCTATTGCAGTTATGCAAAGTGTGGGCCATTAATGGTGGTTTACAATCTTGATGGCTCACATTGACTAGGACAATTGGTTGTAAATGGTTTATTTACCTCCTTGCCTTCCTGTGTACATGTGGGCCAACCCAGGAAGAATGGACACTAGGAGTCTTACAGAGACATATGACCATGTCACATGATGCTGGAATCCATCTTAATCCTTGTACTTTTCCATTGATGAGGCGGGGGTGGTGACAAGCACGACAAAAAATTCCCGCTTTGTGCAAAGCTATAAAAGGGGGTGGAGCAGGACAGAGGGGGCTGATAGTCATGAGAAAACCCCTGATTACCACCTGAGATGTCAGCTGGAACTAACAAGGACTGTACAAGGGGAAAGAATTGGGTCCAGACTAGGAAGGAGTCTAGTCTGTGAGAGAAGCTTATTGGAACATCTTTGAGGGTGAGATATTACCTGTAATCAGTTTCTTAATGTATTAGGCTTAGACTTGCAGGTTTTGCTTTATTTTGCTTGGTGACTTTCTTTGTTCTGTCTGTTATTACTTGAAACCACTTAAATCCTACATTTTATACTTAATAAAATCACTTTTGTTTATTAATAAACCCAGCATAAGTGATTAATACCCAGGGGAGCAAACAGCTGTGCATATCTCTCTATCAGTGTTGTAGAGGGTCGACAATTTATGAATTTCCCCTGCATATGCTTTATACAGAGTAAAATGTATTTATTTGGGGTTTGGATCCCATTGGGAACTGGGTGTCTGGGTGCTGGAGACAGGTAACCTGCTGAGCTGTTTTCAATTAAGTCTGTAGCTTTGGAGGCATGGACCAGACCCTGGATCTGCGTTGCAGCAGACTGGAATGTCTGGCTTAACAAGACAGGGTCCTGGAAGTCCCAAGCTGGAAGGGAAAATGGACTCAGAAGTAATTTCAACACATCAGGTGACAGTCCCAAGGGGATCTCTGTGACCGAACCCGTCACAATCCTATTCAGCTAAAATCTTGCATAGAAAAAACTAGTGTCTAAATCAGCTAACATCCTAAGCTATCAGCTGATGTGGTCATCTGAAACGAGAATATCAGGAAAAAAATCAGAATTTTTGTGTTACAGCAGAATGAATTTCACTCAGTGTCTGGGTTAGGAAAATGCAAATGCCAATGAGAGGGAAAAAAGGCAAAGCAAGAGGGATGTTAAATACATCAGTCTTGCTCTATTCACATCACATATGCTCTTGTACAAAAACCTGAAGGGATTCTACTAGCTGAACTGGGAGGAGGGGGAGGAATGGAGCCCCCCCACCCTCCCTCTTCATTGGCATTGACGCCCCCCCCCCGAAAAAAAAACAATCACAGACTGAAAAAAAACCTGTGTTCTCAGCTATCAAATATTGCCTCAGAGCCTGTTTTTCAAGACACCCAAATTTCAGTACAAAAAATAAATACAGCATTCCCCACTGGAACAGCAGGTAAGGGGATGTCAGAATGTCTTATGTTAATTTCAGAGGCTATTTCATTCATGATGACTGATTACTTGCTTCTTGCTGGCACCAGAGCAGCCAAATATCCTTCAGATATTTGCCAAAAACTAATCTCTGCCTTCAGATTTCTGTGTGTAACATTTGCTGATCTCCAAAGGAGCCACATGTACACATTGTAAGACAAAATTAGACCTTAAATTTTCAAATACATCTGTAGGTATATAGTTTGTAGCTTTTTATGGCTTTATGGTCTCCATACTCCATACAAACCAGCCATTTTTTTGTCAGGATTGCTGTTATAAAGGGGATGCACACACTGTGTTATGACCCATGGACACTTTACTTTTATTTTATTGCTATTATTTTTTCTTAATCTAAAAATAAGTCATTTTAAATCAAAAGTTCATGTTTTGCTCTGTGTTTGGCTACATAACAAAATCGTAACTGTTCAGATGAGGTTGTCTTTGTTATTTGCATTGCAGTAGTGCTTCAAGGCACCAGCTGAGTTAAGGGCCCCATTGTGTTAGGCATTGTACAAATATACAGAAAAAGATGGTCCCTGCCCCAAAGAGCTTGAAATCTAAATTTCTGAACTTTCAGGAATCTGAAATACCAATAGTTTTAATACATAATGCTAAGCGTAAATTTGGTACAGGAAGCAAACTGCATATTTGTCTGTAATTGCCTGTTAGTATTCTGTACATACCATACTTTTGGTATGTGATATTATTTATATAGTGCTTTCATCTGCACACCTAAACATGCTTGAAGACATACTTAATAGAATGCCTCCTAATTAGGCCTTTTGATATTATACTCCAAATGTTACACAGTTGTAAAGTGAACAGGAGTTCTTGTGGCAACTTAGAGACTAACAAATTTAGTAGAGCATAAGCTTTTGTGAGCTACAGCTCACTTCATCGGATACATAGAATAGAACATACGGAAAGATATATATATATATATATATATATACACATAGATAAGTTGGAAGTTACCATACAAACTGTGAGACACTAATTAGTTAAGATGAGCTATTATCAGCAGGAGAAAAAGAACTTTTGTAGTGATAATCAAGATGGCCCATTTAGACAGTTGGCAAGAAGGTGTGAGGATACTTAACTTAAGGAAATAGATTCAATAAGTGTAATGACCCAGCCACTCCCAGTCTCTATTCAAACTCAAAAAGAAAAGGAGTACTTGTGGCACCTTAGAGACTAACCAATTTATTTGAGCATAAGCTTTCTAAGGTGCCACAAGTACTGCTTTTCTTTTTGCGAATACAGACTAACATGGCTGTTAATCTGAAACATATTCAAACCCAAGTTAATGGTATCTAGTTTGCATATTAATTCAAGCTCAGCAGTTTCTCATTGGAGTCTGTTTTTGAAGCTTTGCTTTTGCAAAAATGCCACCCTTACATCTTTTACTGAGTGGCCACAGAGGTGAGAACTTGTAGGTGTTTGTCTCTGTCTGAGGGATTGGAGCAAATGTGGTTTTATCTTAGAGCTTGGCTGTAGACAATGGATCCAACCGCATTTGCTCCAATCCCTCAGACAGAGACAAACACCTACAAGATCTCTATCAAGCATTCTTAAAACTACAATACCCACCTGCTGAAGTGAAAAAAAAACAGATTGACAGAGCCAGAAGAGTACCCAGAAGTCACCTACTACAGGACAGTCCCAACAAAGAAAATAACAGAATGCCACTAGCTGTCACCTTCAGCCCCCAACTAAAACCTCTCCAGCGCATCATCAAAGATTTACAACCTATCCTGAAAAATTATCCCTCACTCTCACAGATCTTGAGAGACAGACCAGTCCTCACTTTCAGACAGCCCCCAGCCTACAGCAAGTACTCACTAGCAGCCACACACCACACAACAAAAATGCTAACCCAGGAACCTATCCTTGCAACAAAGCCTGATGCCAACTCTGTCCACATATTTATTCAAGTGACACCATCACAGGACCTTATCACATTAGCCATGCCATCAGGGGCTCGTTCACCTGCACATCTACCAATGTGATTTATGCCATCATGTGCCAGCAATGCCCCTCTGCCATGTACATTGGCCAAACCGGACAGTCTCTACGCAAAAGAATGAATGGACACAAATCTGACATCAGGAATCATAACATTCAAAAACCGGTAGGAGAACACTTCAACCTCTGTGGCTACTCAGTAAAAGACTCTATTGGAGTCTATACAGCTACACTGACTTAGACCAGCTGAGGTGTTACCCCAAAAATGGATTTTGGGATGCTGCTATAATAACCTGCCTATCACCCCCTTAGTTTGTTCTTCCCAAGGTACAAGTTTCCAGGGTTGTTACGGAAACATTAAGGGACACAGATATAATCTTCTGATAAAGTAATTGATACAGGCACTATTCTCTCCAAAACAAAGTACCTTTTGATTAAAGTTACTAATAATCCCTACTACAATATAATCTAGAAATCCTAAAAAAGGCACAGAAACCCTGACAACAATCTCTTATTGCAAGTTAAAGAGCATTCAAACTACAATAACACATAGTTCAAATGATTCTAAGCCAAGCGATTTGTTACAACTGTCCAGTTTATAACAAATCACTGACAGCAGTTCTTAAATAGCTTTAAAGTTTGCATAGATATGTTACAATTAATAACAGAATTTTATGCATTCTTATAAACACACACATGCTAACCCTATAGGCTATCCTACAGTATGCTTTTACTATGCTATAATTAAAGAATAACAGGCTTACTTTATAAATCCATTGATATTGCTTTATAAATTCTTCAGTATTTTTTTTCTAGTCACTGTTGCTGTTTTTAAGTTCCTGGTCAGTCTGCTTTGCTCCACTCCCGTTTCCTTCTCTCTCTCTCTGTAGTAATGTTTCTGACTTCTTTGCAGCAGCTTTTCATTGTCTCCTCTTGTTGGCTTTCATCTTCTCCCAGTCATCTTTCTCTCTCTTTTGGTGACTCAGGCTCAGACTCCAAAACTGTCTGCTGGCAGCTGGCCTTCTATGCTACATTGAAGCTCTCTTCTACTACACCTTTCTATTTTTAGAAGCAATTACCTCATTCACATATGCCCAGTATCAACCATTACTTCAGAGTTCTGATTGACAGCTCTGACCTTTAAAATAAGTTTGGACTGGAATGCGGGGGCTATGACTGGCTGGCTGCTCAGTTAACTGACCTCTCTGTCACCCATTACTGCACATGCTCAGTAGACACCAATCTTGCACGTTCTCACTGTTGTCAATTACCTCAGACTGTGATTCTGCCGATCCACACATACATACCTGGCTTTTTGCTAGGGCACCATTTTAGAAATTCTGGGTTTTCAAATGAGCATGCCAATCTCAGGGTGGAGTGACTTTTGCTTATTTAGAATAAAGATTAGAAAAAGAAAGTAGAGACTGAAGAATTTCTCTAGTAATTAAGGATGTGGCCCATTGCCTCTGAGTCAAGTAAGGCTGAAGCATATTGGCATAGCAGTATGGGAAGCTCGCTCCTTGTACTGCTCTTTCATGTACTAGTGTTGCACCTGAGGATAGAGGCATGCCTCAGAAACACTGAAAGGATCTTTTAAAATAAATTACTGACTTTGAAAATTAGAAAATAATAGTAAAGATCAGGTATGCATTCTACATAGTGTGACGGGGCAAGGCCAGTTGGCTATAGAAAAGTAGTGGAAGATAGATATATTAGCCTTATTGGGGTCCAGGAAGTGGGAGGGCAAAGCCCGCCCACTGCTAAAGGATCCCCCCCAGCCTGAGGGGGGGTCCACAGGACCTGGAAAACCAAATAATTACAGGGGACAACTAATGAACAACAGGGACAGGAGTGCGATCAAAGGGTCAAACGAAGGGAACCAGACGGGGACACCAAGCAGAGAACCCTGGACAGCGCCCACTGCTCCTCAAAGGCGTCAAGGGAGTCAGTGGACACCACCCAGAGGAACTCTGCCCGGAGGCGTGAATGGACGGAAGATCGGAGATAGGCCCCACAGTCACAGGAGACTCCATCGGCCAACTTCCTCACCCTGGTTTTATATATAGCCACTTTAGCCAGGACCAGGAGGAGGTTGAACAGGAGGTCCCGCGACTTAGTGGGGCCACGGACAGGGAGTGCATAGATAAGGAGGTGAGGGGAAAAGTGCAACCAAAATCTTAACAAAATATTTGTGAGGAGCCGGAATAGGGGCTGCAGCCTGGCGTACTCCAGGTAGACGTGTGCCAGGGTTTCCCGCACGCTGCAAAAGGGGCAGGTGTCCGGGATTGGAGTGAACCGCGCCAAGTACACGCCTGTGCTCATGGCCCCGTGAAGGAGCTGCCACAGATATATTAGCTCCAGGCTAAACAAATCCCTGGTACCAGGTTAAGTGAAATGGAAGCTGCTCCAGGTCAATTAAGACACCTGGGGCCAATTAAGAACTTTCCAGAAGGCAGGGAGAATGCTAGGTTGATTGGGACAGCTGAAGCCAATCAGGGGCTGGCTGAAACTAGTTAAAAGCCTCCCAGTTAGTCAGGTGGGTGGCCATGTCAGGAGTTCTGGAAGGAAGTTGTGCTGTTGGAGAGGCTGAGTAGTACACACCATATCAGGCACAAGGAAGTAGGCCCTGAGGTAAGGATGAAGTGGAGCTTGAGGAAGTGAGGGCTGCTGTGGGGGAAGTAGCCCAGGGAATTGTACATGTCATGTTTCTAAAAGGTCAGCTACCATAGCTGATACTATTAGGGTCCTTGGGGTGGAGCTCAGAGTAGAGGGTGGGCCTGGGTTCCCCCCCACACACACACCTTTGCCCCCTAATTAGTCACTGATACTGGGAGACAACAGAGACTGTGCAAGGAAGGATAACTTCTCCTCACCTCCCTTGCTGGCTTATGATGAAAATGGCTCATTTTCATTGTGACCCTTGTCTCTAGAGAAAGAAGGGTTATGTGGAGGGTCACAGTGAGCCTCTGAGGCTAGTGAAGTCCACCAGGAAATGTGGGACCCATGGAGGCAACGACTGAGCTTTGTCACAATAGCTTTACAGAGATGCAGTTCTATTGCAGAAGACTAAACCCTTCAAATTGCCTTTATATTCTTGCTGGTGAAAATATTTTGTTAAGATGACCTTTTCTTTCACACGTTCTTTGCTATCTCATGCACATACTGGGCAGTACATAATCTCTTCCAACATCAGGCTGCCTCTTATACCCTTTTTCTTTTCTTGGAGGAACACATTTGTCATACCTGATGCACACACACACACACATCTCAACATGAGGCGTCCATTGAGGGAATAAAAGTTGCCAACAAATCTAGCATGTCATAAGATGGATTTATATTTTGTCTCAGTAGTACATTCTCTATCCTTTTTTAAATTAAGTGAACAAAGCAAGTTTTAGGCAGGCAGAACTTTGACAGCAAATAGTCTGTCTGATGAATTGTTTGTTTATGTTTCAGAAGTGTTCTGCTAAAAGTTATCATGGCAATAAACAAGGCAGAACCAAAAATAAATAAAAATAAATAAGTCATTATTTCCTCAGCAATTCCAGAAATTCTTACCACCATTGCAGCATCCTATTCTTTACTTGGGGGTAGGGGGTGAGGAACACTACTACCTGCTTGTGAAGATTTTAAGAAGTGGGGCTGAGGGGTGGAAGTGGCAACTGTTGAGCAGACCCCCAGATTCAATCAATAAGTTGAGTCCCTCATGTCATCCTGCACATTATCATAACTGAAATTTGAAATAAGAGCCTGGGCACAAAATTCAGCACAGGAGTGGCAAAGCAGGAGTCCCTGAAGTTGGTGGAGGTGCACTTGTTTATACCAGGGCTGAATATGACCCTAGTGTTCAATATGCAAAAATTTCATTGGGGGATTCTAGAGGATGTAAAAGGCATGGGGCTGGGACTGAGAGATGTGGATTCAATTCCTGGCTCAGTCACAAACTTCCTTTGTGAACATTGAGTAAAGTACTTAATTTACTTTTGCCTTACTTACCCATTAGAAAAAAAAACAGGGATCATACAGCCCTATCTGTCATGAGTGATGTAAGGATTAAATCCATTTATGATTGTGCTTAGATGCTATGGATGGTGCAGAAAGCCACATAAGCAGATAGATGCTTAAGCCTCTTGGACAACACTGAGCATTGTCTTGTCTGGATGTCACATTTCACATAACTTAGAGAGGGATGCTAGTACTTTGCTTAGTTCTCTCATCCCAGTGCTCATGCTATTAATTCACAGCATACCGGAGAATGGTAGATATGTGATGGGAAGTTGTTCCATTGGGTAGCCAGTGCTCACAATGGGTGGGGAGGTAGCTGGTTAAGTCATATAGATTCTTTTCATCAGAGCAGTACAGAAAACGGGGGAAAGGTGAGGAAAAAGGTGTTGCATCTTTTTTTCCATCTCAAATTCAAGTTGCTTTCCCAGTACTGTTTCCTCCTATTCTCTGACCTTGACTCCTCCCTTCACTCCATCCATTACTGAAAACATTTGCCTGTAAACACAAGTACAAAATTCATCAGTTTATATTGTAAGGGAAGCATGGGGGGTTTCTGAAAACACAGTATTATTTGTCTATTAGGCCTCAGTTGTAATACTGAGTTCAGTTCACTTTAAGAAAGATGTAGACAAATTGGAGAGAGTTCAGAGAAGAGCATCAAAAATGCTAAGAGACTTAGAAAATATAGCCTATGGGGAAAGGTTGAAAGAATTGATCATGTTTAGTATAGAGAAGAGAAAACTGAGGGGGGACATAATAGTCTTTCAACATGTAAAAGGCTGTTATAAAGAGGATATTTATCAATTGTTCTCCATGTCCACTGAGTGTAGGAGAAGTAATCAGCTTATTTTTCAGCAAGAGAGATTTAGGTTGGATATTAGGAAAAAATAACGTTGTGCGTATAAGAATAGTTAAGTGCTATGACAGGTTACTTAGGGAGGTTGTAGAATCCCAGTCACTGGAAGTTTGAAGAGCCGTTTATAGAAGCAGCTGTCAGGGATGGTCTATGCAGTGCTGTTGTGACCATGTCAGTCCCAGGATATTGGAGAGACAAGGTGGATGAGGTAGTATCTTTTGTTGCACCAACTTCTGCTGGTAAAAGAGATGAGCTTTTGAGCTACACAGAGCTCTTCTTCAGGTCCTGGGAAAGTTCTCAGAGTATCACAGATAAATACAAGAGCAAACAGTTTAGCATAAGTAATTAGCACATATTCTAAGCAACAATTTAAGGTGAAATGGCCCATTAACACCCCTCTAGATTGTTGTAATAAACCATAAATCCAATGGTCTTGGTATACTTAATTGTAATACAATGGGCGGGGGGAAGAGGATAGACTAGCTGACCTCTTGAGGTCTTGTCTAGCCTTACATTTCTATGATTCTATGAAATAAGAAAAAACATTAGTCTAAGAAAATATGCTTTGCATACCTCTGGAAGTTGGTGTTCTACCATCAGTGGATTTAAGCTAAAATGATGTGGTATCTTGCCCCTGCTTCAATTAAACTTAATGGTATTTCTGCCAAAACCTTCCATAGACGTAGGATTAAGCCATTTGAAAAAGTAATAATTGTACTGAACAGATGTCTACTGCAGATCATCTATATCAATGGATTGCAAAAAGAGGTGGTAGTGGGGGTGCCGTAAATCCCTCATTTCCATCAACATCCAGTTCTTTACAAATAAAACAACAATCAATAAAAAGCAATGAAATCAAGTAGGATAATAGGAGACCCTAGTCAAATCATCAGCTGTCCTTTAATTACCTTTAGTGTTTTGGACTATAACTGTAAAATGCTCTAGCATATTTTATAATAAAGGGAATCAATTAACAGTAGAGTGATATAAACTAAAACAGCCAGTAGATATTTAATTGTATATGTTATGAGATATATAAAATAAAAAGGCTGCTTTTTGTCTTCTCACTTGCAAAATTTGCTATGAAATATATCATGAGTAAAGAATTTGGGATATGATGAGTGAATATTTTTATGTAATAGATTTAACTACTTTCAGTCTTCAAGAGGACACTCTGACCACAGAGATATTTAAATTAAAGTCTTCTGGATATCATATTTTATTTTTCATGTATCTTTTTGCAGTCAGGCATTCACCAACAAACACATCTGTACATGAATACAGCAAAAAGAAATAAATGTCCTACAAGTACAAAGAGAAACCCACACCATATCT